CTTTTTTTTTTTTTTTTTTTTTTGCTAAGACTGTTTTTTTTGTTTCATATTACTGCTTATTTGATGATCAAAGTTAGTAAAAGGAGAATTACTGTTTTCCCAGGAATCAACTTGTCTCACCCAAGTTCACCTAGTTCAAAGAGCAGGAATATCATCATTCTAGAAACTGTGACTTGCATGTCCCTATCCCCATATTCCAAGATATGAGGAAGGAAGGCTAAGCATGAGTCATGGGACCCCCGGCCCTATACCTCCTCTTTCTTTCACTGCTCTTTAGAATTCTCTGTTATATTCATTCACTACTAGTCCTCCTAAACTAAACCACTGGTAATATCTATGAGATGTGAACGAGCTTACTAGCTTCAGGCCAATTTTATCACTAAAAAGTAAGGGCATCTTGATTTCATGGGCATTTTTGACCCCAAATATTGAAAACTTCCTCTCACCTCATGGCGAGCCTCAAACCAAGTATTCTTCTGCAATCTCCTGGACATACAGTTTATGTTTTGAAGACTTTTAACCACTACCTGTGTGCAGGGGCCCCATTCTCTTTGAAACAGCTAGGTTTACTCTCACATTCATGAAGGTCAAAGTTATTCTGTATTCCTTCTGTTTTTCCATAAAACGGAATGACATTAGGGATCCACTAATCTTGACAGGGGATGAAGAGCTAGAAAGCTCAAAATTCAAAAGGATTATAAAACTTTCGGCTTAAAGTTTTTAGATCTCTCACAGAAATATAGATGAGCACGCAAATATGCAGTATTTAAATGAGGCCTTCCACTTCCCAATCTAAAAATCTATTTGGTCAGCATGCCAACAGAATGATTTATTTTACCAAACTAGATTCAGACTACAAGTCAGAAACATCATAAGCAAAATTTACAACTAATTATTCTTTCCACCAGGTGAAAATAGCACCTTAAACAATTTTCTGCACATAGTCTACAATTATTAAAAGCTTTCTAGACTGAACAAGTGACACAGTTACGGAAGGTGAAAATGTTTTCTCCCTATTTCATATTCCAGATACAAGTTCCCAGGTAACGTGTATATACTAAACCTAGTAGGGTCACCTAAAAATGTCAGTTTAGGAGGTGGTAAAAAGTCAATTGGAAGGGA